ATGTAGCCAGCTCTAATCAGATTTCTGCTATCCCTTTTAGACTCCAAAGCACTGGCTCTTCGGGTTGCTTGGTGCAATCCAAAGTGCATAGAATTTAGAACCAGAAACTCTAATTATGAATCCTAGTTCTTTCACTAGCTGTGTAATTTGATTATCTAAGCATTCTGAACCTGTTTCTCTTTCAGTAAAAGAGAGATACCAGTTATCTGCCTCCATTGGATTGCATAAAGAATTAATTGAAACAAACTATTTAAGCCTTCAGAGATGCACAGTACAAAGTAGTTGCTAAATAAATGTTCATTTCTTTCCTTCATTCCTTTCCCCCATTACTCATTTAGCACTAAATGTAAAAAGAGATTACATTAGTTTTATATTTTAAGCTTACCCTCCTCTCTTTTAGCCAGATAGAATATTTCTGAGGGACAAAAAACATGTCTAATTCATTTTAATAACCCTACAGCTTGGCAACTTCTGAGCACTGGTAAGCTCTCAATAAATATTTACTAAAAAACTAATTAATTTGAGAAGTAATGTAAGACAAATGGTTCCTCTGCAGAACTTAAATTAATAATTACATTTATCCTTAAAATATTCTCCTATGACCAAGGCAAAAGGTATTTTACATACAGAAAAACTAAAAAAGATCTAATGAGAGTCCCAGTTGATACTTAATGGTGAACAAAAGTCACTATAAAAGCTTCAATAAAGAAAAAAATCTCTTTGAAGAAAATTTGAGCACAAGAATACTAATAATGGCAATACAGAGAAATGACAACAATGAGCCTGGAGATATTGAAGGCAACAAGTAATGGATGTTTTACAGATGTTTCTTAAGGATATCTGTCATGTAACCATGTGTCTGTTGTACTTCCAAAATGGCTGACAAATATCGTTAACGGCGCTGACAAGTGTCAAGTTAAACTGGTCAAATACATTATCTGCCCCTTAGGGGTTTTCTCTGATTTTGAAGCCGAGCAGAAACTAATTACAATTTATATTCTGTTCTCTAGGGTTGCTGATCTCTACACTACTCCTAACCGGAATCCTGTATCACCACTCCCATAGAACCACAGGTGAAATGTCTGTCAGAGAGAAGGGAGCGGTTTTATTCAATTACCAATTCAAAACATCGTTGTTCATGAATGTTGTGGCAGAAAAAAGACATAATCTGGCAATATAGGGCACCTGGATATTTTCCTTAAATACAGAGCAAAGTGCTCTAAAAATTCAGGTTGTTTTGAACTTATTATACAGAGGCTACACAGTTTGGTCAGAGAGTACTTAGAATCTGGTCACCACGTTTATCATAACAGCCCTGCCATGACTGACTATACAATTTCAGACAAGTTCATTCCTTCAACAGAACTGTTCCTGAGTGACTATTATGTAACAAACATACTAGATGATGGAGATATAGAGGTTTTAAATATATATAAATATGTTTGTATATATTTACATATATTAAATATAATATTAAATACACATACATATTTTTTAATGTCTTTCTGGAACTTAGAGTGGAGTCAGGTGGTTCAGATGGACTGGACAGTTTACCTTTCACTGATGGCATAAAGATAGACCAAATTTCCCCACCTCTACATAACTTCATTCTGGCCAGTGAAATGTGAGTAGAAGTGAGGTACGCCATGTCCAGACCTGGCCATGGAAAACCTCCCATTTGATTATCAACTTTCTCTATCTTCTTACTTGCCAGCTGGATTCAAAAGAGGACTCTGAGATCTTAGAGGCGATGGTGTCACAAGATGGGAAGGAGCAGAAGGCCACCTGCTGAACACCCTCTGGGAACCATTATGTGAGCAGTCAATCAATTCCTATTGTGTTAGGTGACTGAGATTTGAAGCTGTTACAATAGTTAGTGTACCCTACCATACCATGAACCACAACTACCTCCAAGACATTATGATATAGAGTATGCACAGAATGATGTGGGAATACCATAAAGAGGTGGCTCGCCTGCATTGGATCTAGATATCAGGGAGTGCTCCCTAGAAAAAGAAACACTTAAGATGAATCTTAAAGGACAGTATGAGACAGTGAGGAAGAGGATAGAAGGCTACAAGGGAGAAATCATATGGAAAGTCATGAAACCTTGAGGAAACGTGGTACATCGGGAAAGTGTTAGTGACTCCTGACTATTAGAATGTGGAGTGATGTTGGGAAATAGAGCTACTCAATATGTGTTTGTTGAAATGACTAGGAAAGAGCAGGACCTAGGAGACATAGTAATTACCAGAAATGATGGATAAGGGAAGAGAACAAAAAGTACTCAAGAACCATCTAGCTTAGTAGGCAGAATAGATGACACTCTCTTCCCTGAAGTAGGAAATGCAGGCTCAAGAGGTAAGAAGATGAGTTCAGTTTTGAAGAAAACTGAAGTGTAGATAGCTATGGAACATCTGAAAGACGTATCGGGAGGTGTTGGGATATAAGGGCCTAGGGCTCAGGCAGTGGTATGGGAAGGAGAGGTGGGTTTGGAAAGTGTCACAGTAGAGATGGTGGCGGAAGTCACAAGCATGACAGGACTGCTCAGGTAGAATGTTCAGAGTGAGAAGCCAGGGAAACAGGAGAGGAAGAGGGAAAGTAGGAAAGAGGGAAGGGGTGAGAGCAAGAAAGAGAAAGAGAATATGAGAAGCCATAGAAGCCAAAGAAAAGAGATATTTAGGGAGCAGTCAACAGTGACAATGTTTCAGAGAGGGGAAGTAAAATGATGGCCTGAAAAATGTCCATTATATTTGACAACTACAGTTGCTATTTGTGACCTTAACAGGTTCCATTTCAATACTGGCAAAGCCAGATTAAAATGGTGTGCAGAGAGAATGACGGATGAAGAATTAGAGACAGGAACATAAAATACTCTTTTAAGGAAAATTAGCTCTAAGGAACAATTAGCTAGAAGTGGACAAAGAGGCAGAGTTTGTTTCATTTTAGTTTTATTTTTCAAGACGTAAGACTTAAACACGGTAACATGTTGAATTCTCTGAACTTTCATTTCTCTATCTCTAAAATGGGGATAATAATGCCCCTTCTACTAGGTCTACTAAGTTGTCAGAACAAGTAAGATGCCGTACGTCAAAGATTCTAAAGTACTGTGTAAAGGGCAATGTTATTATGTATTTATAAATATCAAAAATACGAAGTTATAAAAGTCAAGAGTCCAGTGAAATATGGTTAGCTATAAAATCAATGAAAAATTATAATCAGTCTAGATCTAGAAATATGAAGAAAAAGAAAAATGTCTTTTTAGTATACACTAGAATTTGTTGATCCCAAATATTAGAGGTTAACAATAGATGTCTACATTCTATGCTGGGCATAATTTTTCTGGGGCTCCCAGGTTATAGACTTGGTTTCCAGACGTCTTCATTATACCAGAAAAAAAAATGTCAGTTAACCCTGGCAGATTGCAGTATACTAAGTCATTTGGGAGTTTGTCTTATGAGTAGTAGTTCTTAAATAAATATTTTTGGCAATCACCCCATTTCACAAAGCAACAGACTAACTACATAATTTAGATCTCATGACCAGTGAAATCATAGTGAATGGCCACAGCTTGCTGAGGAGTATGTTATTCTAAGGGGCGAGTGAGGTATTCTGGGAAGTAAGCTAACCATTTTAGGACTTCCATCCTGGGAAGATTAACCATCCAAAAGACTATGGGCCAATGATTATTTCACGAGTCCCCAAACCTTTAGACTCAAAAAGAACATTATTTTAGCACTATGACATCAGTAGAACTAGTTTCTCTCTTATAAAACTTTTAAAAGTGATTTTAACATGTCCCATCTTCCTCCCTGGGAAGATATCTTATCCCCATAAAAGAAAAATGTCCCTTTCCTTTTTTCTCTGTGATTTTGGACAACTCCCTTCTGAGTTGGTTTCTTATTGGCTGATGTCTCCTCAATTATATTATTTTCAAGGGCCGCAGGGTGCTAATTAAGATCAAACAGCTGTGTCTCCAGCTCCAAACAAAAATTGTATAGAATAAATAAATCTTCCTTTACAGTAGATACTAATCTAATCTTGAAACCCAAATAAACCCTATTTGCAATTGTTTCTGCTTGCCTTGTTTTCTTTTTTTTTTTTTTATCTTAGGGAGATCAGACTATGACTAGAATGGTGCTTCTTTTATCCATGTTTTATGTCCATCAAATACTTCACCCTTAATGTGTGACACTACCATATGTAGCTATTAAACTAGGCCAAATGTCTACAGGTCAAGTCTTAGAACTTTTATCCACTGTAATGCTAAATTTTATCCTAAGACTGAGGGTCAATAAAGCAATTCACAATTACCTCAATCAGAACTACAAAGAAAAAGACAAAACTTATGTTGCCCTTAAATACCACAAAACACTTACTAGACCTTTGCAGAAAATCAAGTATCTTTCATAAGTTCATCTCATTTATTCTCAAAGTAACATTGTAAATATATAATTCTTCATCATCACTGATTCACAGTGAAGAATGCTGAGACCCAAGGAGTTTAAGAGCATTCCCAAGGCCACATACTTGTTTGGGGGCAGAACCAGGTCTATATCCAAGATCCTCTGCTTCCTCCTCTCTTTCCACTACACCACAGACAACTCCCATCATGTTACCCACTTTATTTTTATTTCACTTCTCTAGCAACAATGGGAAAAGGCCTGGCTTCCTCTGAAGTCATAAGGAATCTTTGATGAAACACAGACGTGAATTCAGTTCTCCCTCCAATGAAAATACATAACATATTGGTTACATAAGGAATGTTATGGGGTCATCATCGATGTGGAAAGCTTTTTAAAAGAATGTACAAATAATGCTAGGAATCCTAAAAAGGCCAAAGAAGATGTTACAAACAAATGACCAAATATGGAATGGGGGGAAAATTCCATAAACAATCAGTATTTTCATTTGAATGCTTTGTTTTTATTTCATAAGGGCTCCTCTTTCATGGACAATCCTGGTTTTTTAAAGAAGTTCAAATGAACACCATGACCTACCTATAGATGGAGAAGGAAGCCACTGATCGAATCAGGGATGCCAAAGCCCCCACTTTGGCAGCTTCCACTGCCCCCTGGACCCGGTACTGCACTGTCTTCGAGTAGCTGACATAAGGTTGATTATAAACAACAATCTTCCCTCTTGCTTCTGGGGCCCTTCTCTGCAGTTCCTCGAAAGAGGTCACCACCAGAACTTCTGCCGTAATGCCTGGAAATAAAAGTCATACAGGATTAACTTATGGTTTCCGACCAGCCAGGTTGAATTGGCACACAAAAGGTCATACATGCTTTATCTGCTACATCTGACAAACTGGTTTGAGAAGATCAAAGTTTTAGAGTGATTTGCCATGGGAGAGAGACCGCAGAGGTTAGCCAGTTTCCCAAGAGAGAGAAAAGGCATTCAAAATAATATGACATATGACTCAGAAGGTTTTTCAACTCACTTGACCAGCTGGTACTAAATCACAAATGGCTTGAAAAGATAGCTTTTTACCCCTTCTTCCTCACCCTAAGAAATCATGAGTTTCACAGAATGACACTAATTATTCATAAAGAAAATGCACCTCAGAAAGCTCCCATTGGGATTAATGAAACATATATCTTTTTATAAAGTTATTTTGACATGTTGTTAAACAACCTTCATGGACAGCATACAAAGAATGGCAGTTCATGATGAATGTTCTTAGAAGCCAAGAATCTTCAAAAATCCAACTTTTGACAAATAGTTAATGTAACCTCTACCAAGAACTACAAAAAGTCAGCTTGTTTTCATTCCTCCTTTATACAAAACACTCTTAAAGAATATGAAAACTTCCCAAGCTTCTCAACTTACAGTATTTGTTCATCACCAAAACACATCACTATTCTCCAGATAAAACTTCTGAAGATGTTGTAATTGTCCCATAATCCTGTTGTCTTACTTAGAAGAGATGTACCATCTTTCCTCCTACAAGACTCACCCAGATCTTCCTGATTAGGGAACAGGGTTTCACAGCCTCCAAGAAGTCATTCAAAACTGCCAGACCACTGAAGATCCAATTTGATGGAGCAGTTTGAGTGACAAGGAGAAGATATTCAGCATCAAAAGCCAGGTCAGTGACTAAATAAAACTATGAAAAGAAAGTGGCCGGTGCCTACTCTTTTGTGGCTTTAGCCATGCAGTCATGAAATATGTCAATAAAAGCAGAAGTATCAACATGTATTTGGCATGTTTCCTTAATCTTGCAAAATAGAGAACTAGGTTTTTTTGAAGGTTAACAGATGTCATTAAAATATTAACTGTTACTTGGAAAATCCTTTTAAAACACACTACAGGTATGAGAGAATTCTTGCTTTCAATATAGGCCCCATTGTAATGGACCCTTTGGGCTGGCTCCACTCCTACTTCTGGTTCCCCTATCTGGACTCGATTTGTACTTTTACTTTAAAGTGACTGTCTACAGATCTATAAGCATGTCTCCACCAACATTCAGAATTTAATTTATAATCTAAAAAAAAGCAATGTACAATTATAAAAAGGAAGGCACTAGCTTTTCCACATGATAAATAAATATGTATAAACATACAAATAAGAGTTCAGCTAGACAGATTTTGAGATTCGTAACTTTCCGAAACCTACCTTAATACTTGACTGGTGTTACTGTTGGCATAATACAAGAATTTTATTGATGGTTTTCAGTTGTTCATAATGAATAACAGATTCAGTGGTCCACCCAAAGGCCGTCCCAGCAATGGGGTAATTCTGGCATCTGGATTGGAGCCACTAGAAATGAAGCCAAATTTCTATAAATTTTCATAGGCTGCTGCAGAATTAAAGTCATAGGAGGGTGGTACTTCACTATGGTCTGTGCTTCAAGTTCTTTTAACCAATGAGAATGTGATGGAGCCTTCAACAGCCAAAACCCATCCTGGACACCACAGTTGCCAAAGCAAATCACTAGTAGAAGCAACAGGTCAAAACCTATGACTGTAAACATGGAAGAACAGTTCAAATTAACTGCTTTCCTGAAAGCTTAGAGTCATCTCTGACTCCTCTTCTCTCCTTCAGCCACCACATCAAATTAAACCTCAAATACTGATAATTTTATGCCTTAAACGTTGATTGAACCCAGGTGCTCTGTTCCACACTCTCACATCAGGCTCTCATTACCTCTGGACTGAGGGCCTGCTATGGCTCCCTCCTCTTCCACGCACCTACCACCACTGGTGTCCCAGCCTCCAGCCTAGCTCCCCCAAACTCCACCTCCACAGAGCTGCCTGAACTACCTGAACTACTGAGTAATCAGCCTACGTTACCACCCCTGCCCTGCCCCTCTCCAGCTCTGCTGAAAACCATCACTTCAACATACCATTCAAAGCCTGTCCCTCTCTACAAACACAATCTCTCTTTTCTTCTGAATTCCATCAAAAATACACTTAAAAGTTCCCGCTCTCACCATGCCAGTTCACTCCTCAGCATCTTTGTTCACACTATGGTACATCATGTTTTGTTCATCTCATTCTCCCAACTCCATCATGTGACTAACACCTATTTATCCTCCAGGATGCCATTTAAGAATCTCTTCTTTAGGAAGCATTCTCTGGCCTTTGATCTCCTGTCTCATTTCCCTCCCCGCCACCCCCAGGGAAGGCTGGCTCATGAACCATCCTCCTCTGTGCTTTCAGAGTATCCTGGGCCTACCTGGGCACTGGATAATTGAAATTCTGCCTATTTATGATTCTCTCCACCACATAAACTGTGATATCATGGATTGAGGCTATGTTCATTTTTGCTTGCATCTCCTGGGCCTAACACAGTGCTTGGTGTACGTGTGTAGGCAGTCAGTAAATAAACAATCCTTGAATAGCATCGCTCCAAGTAGGGTACCACTGACTGGATCTAAAGTATTTCCATAAAAGTGCAATTTTACCTTTAAAGTTTGATAGCACTTCTCCCATAATAACTCAGCAGTCTGATTCTCTTACCACCCAGAGCACAGCTGCATAACAATAACCAAGCAAAAAAGGCCTTGGGGCAGTCAGAATAGGAATATAAATTCTAAGTATGACAACTCAAGGACTTGAACATAAGAAAGCTCCTCTGCTCTCTGTTAGAGCCTCTCTACCCTTACTTCACACAAAATTCTAAATCTAGTATTTAAACCTATAAACCATGAGAAACAACAAATCAAAAGGAAGAGATACAGTTGGAAGCTGATAGTACCAGAAAAAACAATGTCAGAGATAGGAACACATAAAATAACAAATACTGACAGAATTTTCTGCAGTGTTAGAAATGTTCTCTATCTGTGCTAACGCAGTAGCCATTAGACACGTATGGCACTTAAAATGTGACTAATGTGACTAAGAAACTGAATTTTTTTTTTTTTAAAGATTTTATTTATTTATCCATGAGAGACAGAGACAGAGAGAGAGAGAGAGAGAAGCAGAGGGAGAAGCAGGCTCCCAAGGAGCAGGGAGCCCGATGCGGGACTCGATCCCAGGACCCCGGGATCATGACCTGAGCCGAAGGCAGACGCTTAACCATCTGAGCCACCCAGATGCCCTAAGAAACTGAATTTTTAATGTCACTTATTTTAATTTGAATAGCCGTATGTGTGTAGTAGCTATGATGTAGAACTCACAACCACTGCGGACTCAGCCTTTATGTAGGCAAATAGCCTAAAGCATCTCTGTTGGTCCTGAGGACCCTGCTTCATGACAATTCAGTAACAGATGCGAGAGTCATGGTGATGACCTCCGGCAGCCGTCACAGACCAAGTGGACTGTACTCAGTATCCATCTTTTGGGATGGCAGGGTATGCAGAAAAAGCATTTAAGGAAGATTTTTGCTCAAACTGAATAAAATAAAATGAGGCCACCTGGAAGACTTTGCTCATCTGTATTATTTTTTTCTGGACACATGTTACACAAAGGAAATACTCATATTCTCCTACAGATCAGCAGGCTCCTATTCTTTTCTGTGTTCTCATCTCCCTTCTCCCCATTCTCCATTCTCGAGGAGAGTACATGAAAACCCCTAAGAACACAAATCCAGTGTCATATTCACACTAAGGCCTACCCTGACCTCCCTATTTATAAGTGCAACCCACTCCCAAATCCCTCTCCTCTTACCTTGCTTCATTTTTCCATAGAATTTATCAGCTTCCAGCTATACCTACTACAATCATGTAAGCTCCATGAGCAGGTAGAATTTTTTATCTGTTTTATTCGTTAATAAAAAGTTACCAAAGTGCTCGAAATGGTGCCTGACACACAGTATGTGAAATTCACACACACACACATTCATAATCACATTCATAATCACAAATACATGTACATATGCATATACGGAATGAAGGAAAGGAAACCAAAAAAGAAAAAATTAAAGTATAATAATACCCCATCCCTGATCACTCTCCAAAAATGTATACTTTCCAAGGAACTTGTATATTTCTGTAAGTCAGGATAATTGATGATAATAGCAATAATAGCTATATTTGAATATCTATTGTTTATACCAATGGCCAGAGAAATTGCAAAGTAGTTATTAGGAGGATACTGATATGCAGAAAAATACATATACACAACTACTGGGTGTTGAAGCTGAGATTTGTGTTTTTTTTGTTGTGGTTTCTTTTTTTTTTTTAAGAATTTTTTATTTATTCATTTAAGACAGAGAGATACAGAGAGCGAGAGAGTAGGAGCAGTGGGGAGAGGCAGAGGAAGAGGGAGAAGCAGACTCCCTGCTGAGCAGGGAGCCTATTGTGGGGCTTGATCCCAGGACCTGGAGATCATGACCTGAGCCAAAGGCAGGTGCTTAACCATCTGAGCCACCTAGGTGCCCTGAAGCTGAGATTTGAATCCAAGGATCATGCTCCTCCTATTAATTGCACTGCTATCTTCTTTCACAAATGTAAAATAGAAAGGCTCAGTATTTTCATTTTAAGGGGAATAAAGAGGAAAAATAAATAGGTATATAAAAAGTCTTCCTAAGTTATTTTATTTTTCTTAGGCTACCCAGGATCTGACTCATAAATCAGAGTACTACTGTCACATTACGTCCCAAACTATTAACAGAGGAGTTGGGAGGGAGACTTCACTCTAGGAAAAGAGTCCTCAGACTCTGTTAGAGTAATGAAAAGGATTATGATAGTTAATTCTGAAGAAAATGTGAGACTGAAGCTAAGAATATTCACATTATAAAGCAACTCTCTTGGCTACAGCTGATTATATCACAAAAACTGTAAAAATCCTCAGGTGCCTTTTTATTCTCCACATCTAATTTTTTAAATTGATCAATTTATTTTGTAAGCGACTTACCCTGTGCATAATCACTGCTGCAGTCTCCTTCTAGAGACAACAGATGCTGGCTGCTGTGGTGTTGGCTCAGATCATTTTTCCTATGAAGAATTTGATAAAGAGACTCCAAACTTAGTATCTTCTGACTGGATTCCCCCCAAGAAAAGCTAAGAATAGGAAGATAGTGAAGTGAGAATTTTTATAATGTCTTCTATTATCAAAAGGAAAGGAAAAGAATACAAACAGAAAAACATGTCTCTGGGGCTCAATTCAATGTGGTATGTTTTAGAAAATTGATTCTGATTTCAGAAGATTTAGCCTCCAAACAGGAAATACTCCAGCCCCACCCAAAAGGAAGCCTAGCTTCTTACTCTTATTGCATAATCTTATACTGAGTATACTACACAAGATAACTAGGTCCAGTGGAATGGCTGGTTTTTCCTGAACTCAGTTATGGAGAAGGGAAAATAGTTATTCTTGAAAACTCAGTGTTTTGGCCTGAAGTGGTAAGGAAATTGCAAATTCATGGCAAGACAGATAAAAGAACATCAGAGCAGTCCTTTTTGAGTGTCCACTTGTTTATGGAGAATATTATAATTGTGCAACGTCCTTCTCATTAAAGAACAAGCCTTAAAGATTCAAATTCATTCAACAAATTTACAGCCCTCCTACTGGGTAGAGCTTCTTACTGGACATTGGGGGCAGCATGAATTTGACCAAGTTTCAGTCCTTTTCTCAAAAATTGGAAAATCTGGGCACCAAAAACCGTGAGATACCTAGAAATAAACCTAACCAAAGAGGTAAAAGATTTGTACTCTGAAAACTATAGAACACTTATGAAAGAAACTGAGGAAGACACAAAGAAAGGGAAAAACATTCCATGCTCATAGATTAACAAATCTATAGAAGAACACAGAAGAACAAATACTGTTGAATTGCCTATACTACCCAAAGCAGTCTACACACTCAAGGCAATCCCTATCAAATTAATGCCAGCATTTTTCACAGAGCTGGAACAAACAATCCTAAAATTTGTATGGAACCAGAAAAGACCCCAAATAGCCCAAGTAATGTTGAAAAAGAAAAGTAAAGATGGTGGCATCACAATTCCGGACTTCATGCTGTATTACAGAGCTGTAATCATCAAGACAGTATGGTACTGGCACAAAAACAGACACATACATCAATGGAACAGAATAGGGAGCCCAGAAATGGACCCTCAACTCTATAGTCAACTAATCTTCGACAAAGCAGGAAAGAATATCCAATGGAAAAAAGACAGTCTCTTCAACAAATGGTGCTGGGAATATTGGACAGCCACATGCAGAAGAATGAAACTGGACCACTTTCTTACACCATACACAAAAATGAATCCCAAATGGATGAAAGACCTAAATATGACACAGGCATCCATAAAAAATCCTAGAGAAAAACACAAGCAGCAACCTTTTTGACCTCAGCCACAGCGACTTCCTACTAGACTCATCTCCAGAGACAAGGGGGAAAAAAAGCAAAAATGAACTATAAGGACTTCATCAAGATAAAAAGCTTCTGCACAGCAAGGGAAACAATCAACAAAACTAAAAGGCAACCTATGGAATGGGAGAAGATATTTGCAAATCCCTTATCAGATAAAGGGCTAGTATTCAAAATCTATGAAGAACTTATAAAACTCAACACCCCAAAAACAAAAAATCCAGTCAAGAAATGGGCAAAAGACATGAACAGACATTTCTCCACAGAAAACATACAAATGGCTAACAGACACATGAAAAAATCATCAGGGAAATATAAATCACAACGACAATGAGATATCACCTGACACGGGTCAGAATGGCTAAAATTAACAACTCAGGAAACAACAGGTGTTGGCAAGGATGTGGAAAAAGGGGAACCCTCTTACACTGTTGGTAGGAATGCAAACTGGTACAGCCACTCTGGAAAACAGTATGGAGGCTCCTCAAAAAGTTAAAGAGAACTATCCTATGATCTAGTAATTACACTACTAGGTATTTATCCAAAATATATAAAAATAGTGATTTGAAGGGGCACCTGCACCCCAATGTTTATAGCAGCTATGTCCACAATAGGCAAACTACGGAAAGAGCCCAGATGTCCATGGATGGATGAATGGATAAAGAAGATGTGATATATATACCACATACATACATACTTTTCTATACATGCATACATACATATTACATACATACATACATACATACATACATACACACAATGGACTATTACTCAGCCATCAAAAAGAATGAAATCTTGCCATTTGCAAAGAGGCAGATGGAACTAGAGTATATTATGGTAAGCAAAATAAGTCAGAAGAAGACAAGTACCATATAATTTCTATGTAGAATTTAAGAAACAAAACAGATGAACATAGGGGAAGGGAAGGGAAAATAAAATAAGATAAAAACAGGGCGGCAAACCATAAGAGGCTCTGACCTATAAGGAACAAACAGGGTTGCTGGAGGGGAGGTGGGTGGGGGGATGGGGTAATTGGGTGATGGGCATTAAGGAGGGCATGTGATGTAATGAGCACTGGGTGTTATATGCAACTGATGAATCACTAAATTCTACCCCTGAAACTAATAATACAGTATATGTTAATTAAATTGAATTTTAAATATAATCATTTTAAAAATTCGAAAATGTGGGGGAGAAAAGTAGGTAAACAAGAACTTTAAAAAGATCACAGGATGTCACAAGTCTAAATGAATGTACAAAGTAAAATTTCACAAAATAATAAATTAATTCTGACTGGGGGAAATCTAGGAAGTTTCCTATAAGATGAAACTTTAAGTGAGCCTTAGAAGACTTCAATAGCCTGAAAATGAAGAAAAGGGCATTCCTAGGAAAAGAACAAAGAAGGGAAGACAAAAATAGACGAAACAACTATTCATTTACAGTAAATAGGAGGCTTCCTGCCAGGCCCTCAAACAGACAAAGAGACACTCTAAAATCTTCTACTTCTCAACCAAGATATTTACAGACCCCTATTCTCATTCTATGAGTTCCAAGAAGGCAAGGCAAACAGTCTCCTTGAAACAATTTTCAGGAAAAAAATATTAAACTCAGCTATTAGCTGAGTGAAAGTCAGAAGAGCAAGAGGCAAAGTGCACCCCTCAAAGGATAGCGGCAGGCGTGTGACCCACCCTCTCCAAACTGTCTCCTGAGATCTGGCTCAAATTAAACCTGGTCTGTTACCTGGAGAGCAAGCCCAGACCTGACATCATCAAAATCCATGGGCACAGCGAATTATCAGCAAGTCTCAAGAGGCAGCTGTCTGGCTGATGGAGCAGTGTACTACAAGCCGCCTTGCCATACTGACACCTAAAGATTAGCCACAAGCGAAACGACTGGTCTACTTTGGCCTCAAAAATACAGAACTTACACATTTTGTTGTATAATGGAGAGGTACCCACCACAGGCCCTCTGTGTTTACTTCGACCTGTCATGTAGCACACTCAAGTAGTATGGGGACCCAACTCCTCAACACACAACGGCAACAAGCATGGAGCACAAACCAATCCTTAGCAATCCGATCACTTAGAGATTCCAAACTGCTTCCACTGGTCAGGCCACAGCATGAAAGGCAGTCACACTTTGGGGGCACTTTGATTAATTTTAGCATTTATCACAGGGAGCCAGTTATGGTCTAAAACATGAGGCATATTGTGTTTGAAACACAGTTGCTTTGGTTGTCTTAAATATGGTTGCTTTGAAACCTGTTTGAACTTGGTTGTTTTCTCCTCAACCCCTGAGGATTTCCTTGTAATGGTGACCGGTGTGAGTGAGTGGGGACTTCCACAAAAAACATTATCTTCTTAGACATCCGTGGAAATGAGCAGCTGGAAGGTCCTATGTACATCAGTCAGCTTCCAGTGATACTTAAAAAGGAAAATCTACAAGTCTTAGTGATGGCATGCGGGGGTATGGAGGTGAGTTTCTGGCTGCAGTCGACTGACACAGGACTAGTTATCGTAGTCTGGGGGTCATGGCTGGCTCTGCTGAGAAGGTGGGATCTGAAAAGGGAGTGCTAATAGACTAGAGGAGGAAGCCAGGGAGCAGAAGAGAGAAGGAGATTAAAGACACAGAGTGAGTGAGAGAATGGCATGAGAGGAGGCTGGCAGTTGGCAGGGTGACATCACCTGGGAGCCCTGTAGCTGCAGTAAGGAATTTGGGTGGGGACAGAGAAGTCAGGCAAATTCAGAGTTACATGCTGGAAATACCACTAGTCTTAGTGTGATGGAAGGCTTGGAGGAGACAAGAAAAGGCATGGAGGGCTATTTAGGGGGCAACTGCCACATTCCGGTTGAGAGCAGTAGTGGCTGGAGGAGGGCAGGGCGGTGGAGAGAAAGAAGACTGGACAGACCACTGAGCAAGAGTATGGAGGGGATGCCATTTACTGCAATGGGGAAATCAGCTTCATTGAGTGTTGTACTCCATAACCATATTACCCAATCTATATAATGATTACTTTCCTGGGGAAAGTTGTATGTAAACTGAAATTTAGTTATCAAAACAAAGACTTTTTTTGTTGTTTAATTTTAAGATGAATCCTATCTGTGAAACAATGATCTTCATTGAAAACTTCTTTACAAAGTATTTTCTATACTACATTATGCATTCTTCCAGATATGCTTAAAACAGGGTATTTCTTTATCAGTAACAAAAAGCATCCATTGTTATGTAACCTGGCTTGAATACTGGCTATAGAGCTCACTAGCCTTTGCTCATGAATAAACTGCTTAACTTTTCCCAGCCTGTAAAATGGGAATCACAGTATTATTCACACCATCAGGATTCTTGTGAGTATCAGATGAAATGACAGAGCTAAAAATCGCTGTGTGCTATAAAGCAACATAAGACAGTAAGAGTAAGGTTTGTAAGGGTTCTGGACATATATCAAATGGATATAAGCAGTAATTATCTGATTTATTTAAAACTTCACTTCAAAGCAATCACCAGGAATAAAACAAAAATAATGGATATAATCAGCAAATATGGAGCCTATCTGGCTCAGAGCAGAACTATTCTTTATCACATCAGACAGCTCCAGAGGCTATGCGATTTCTTGTCAGTTTTGACTAAAGCAATCATGTAGGCACTATATCATAAAGATGCCACAAAAGGCTGGGCAGAGAAGCTGAGGAGGTTTCATGGGTCTACTTGGCAACAAAAAAACACAGGGGTGAAGGAGGAATGTGTGAGAGGAACACGGAAAGGACTTTTCAGAGAAGCAGCAGAGGAACAGGGCATGATAGAAAAAGATACCAGTGGCCCTATCTAGAATTATACTAATGCTATATTGTATTATCTCCCCTCCCCTTTTCTGTAAGAGAATGACACATGCCAATCAATTGCCTTGTAAACTGCAGTGTCTCTCTTGGAAGACACCAATGCTGGGCTTGGCCATGAGGTTTGCTCTGGCCATTGGAATGGGAATAGGAAAGGTATATGGCCACAGCTGAGCAGGAACTTAAAGAGCCACTGCAAGCTTTGATTGTCTTTTAAGAGATCTTTTCCTTCAGCCACAAGAATGACATGTCCCAGATGGGGACTTCTTCAGCCTGGATCCTGGAATGAAAGATACTTGAGGCAGAAGCAAAGGCACTACCAACTTTATATATTTATATGCACGGTGAACAAGAAATAAATCTTAGGAGGGGCACCTGGGTGGCTCAGTCGGTTAAGTGTCTGACTCTTGTTTCAGCTCAGGTCATGATCTCAGGGTCTTGGGATCAAGCCCCATGTCGGGTTTTGTGCTCGGTGTGGAGCCTATTTGAGATTTTCTCTCCCTCTCTCTCTGCCCCTCCCCCCTCCTCTAAAATAAATAAATATATCTTAAAAAAAAAAGAAAGAAAGATATCTTAGGAGGTCCAAGCCACAGAAATTTGGGGGTTATCTGTAAGGCAGTAAGAGAGGGGTTATTGGGGTTATTGGGGGTTATTTGTTACCACTGCAATACTGAGTGAGAGCTGACTAAAGTAGGAGCCCTGAATTTAAATTTTCTATCAGAACATTTCACAATCTATAGCTGATGACAGATAAAATATAGAATGAATATTTTTAATACCTTAGGGACGACTGTTCAGTGAAAATTAGATAACTACTTTCTTCCTCCTATCACACATCAAAGTGATCAAATGATCAACACCAAACAGTAGACAACCAACAAATCTGAAAAAGAATTTAGCAAGTGTCAGTGATTTAACACATGCAGACTAAATGACAAAGAATTTTAAGTAAGAGATAAACCCTAGAGATCATTAAAATACAGTCTTGGCAGCTTCAGTTAGCTAACCCACCTGATGTCACTTCTAAAAGAAACAAGCAGCCCTGTTTTACTATTAAATAATTCTATACACTTTCAATAGATTTCAATATTTCATATCTAAATGTTTTCCCTCTAAATTCCATCTCCAAAAACCAAGGGCAAAAATGATAGAAACTGGTGTGCTTATGTTTATATCAAGTACAGAATAATGTTATTATAGTGTTATATCAGGGAGATAAAATAACTCTATGACAGCTTGGCATTCCAAAATGGGCTTTTTCATTCAGCTATGTTTTGAAATGTTAACTTCCTATGCTGTTCTTAAAGAAGTAAAACTTGGAGAAAAAATACCATAACAAAACAGAATTTTCGCCCTCAATAAGAAGAAACCTGACTCGGGCGCCTGGGTGGCTCAGTTGGTTGGGCGACTGCCTTCGGCTCAGGTCATGATCCTGGAGTCCCGGGATCGAGTCCCGCATCGGGCTCCCT